AGCTGCCTGCGGGCCGGCCGCTGAGGGAGAGCTCGCCCCATCGCAGCCTTATTGTCTCATCTCGGCCTCGACCTTCTATCCCCAAAGCCAGGCTCCTGCCCCTCAGCCCGACCTCAGCCTTCTCACAGGCCCTTCACACACAGTGTGCCCCTCCCGCACCCGCCCACAATGCCCTGGAGGATTAGTCAACCTGGAATGCCTCCAAGTCTCCAAAGGGGGCTGCCTGCAGCTGAGACCACAGTGAATGCAGCAGCCTGGTCCCCCTCAGGCTTCCAGCTGCTTCTCTGTGCAGCTTCTCAGTGGCGGCACGTTCTTCCCCTTCCCCCAGAGGGGCCAGGCCACCAGTCAGAGGACAACCATCCTCCTGGGCACCAGCTTTCCTGCCTCAGGGACAATCTGTGGTCTCTGACCCCCAGAACCACTGCTTTCCTGGTGGAAACCCAAGCCCAGGGCCCCTCTCCTTTCTGCTGCTAATAGCACCCAATTAGAGGCTATTTCCTTGGCCCTCCTCACAGCCAGGAAGGACACCCTCCCACCACACAGAGGTCAACTAAGCCTGAGGCTGTGCTCAAGGCCCCGCCACCCTCCACCAGCCTGTCTCCCGTCAGGTGCTCAGCCCAGTTCCAAATGATCCTGGAGAGCCACACCACCCAGAGGGGGCAGGATCTGACGCCCATGGGCCTAGCCGCTAGTCCATGCAGCACCGCCCCCCCCCCGCCCCCGCATGCAGATGGGGCCTCACCTGGGCTATGCCGTCCCTGAAGGAACAGGACTAGGAAGGCGAGAGCTGGCCCCAGCATCTCCACGAGGCAGGTGGCCGGGCGGCTCCGTCTGCAGGCGCTCTGTGCACAGGCCCCACAGCCTCCAGTCAGGGGGGCCGGGAGAGCACGACCTGCTGCTGGTCTGGCCACAATTTCCTCACCCAGAGGCTTTCTCGTTGACTGAGAGCTAACGAGGCTGCTGAAAAAGCCACAGTCCCTCGCCCGGTTGACAGTTCCCACCAATTAAACTGGCCAAGTTTGCCTCAAGTGGGTGGGGTTCACAGTGACTCACACCAGCTTCACAATCTTGTCCTTCGCTCTCCCCAGCCCAGCAGCTTTGTGCACAGGCAGAGCCAAGAACTTGTCCAGCTCTCATCTCACTGCCATGGAGACCTACATGGGGCCACACGCCTTCATCCTAGACGTCCCTTCCAACACTGTGGGGGTGGAGGGGAGAAGTTGGTGCTAGAAAACCCTATAGGCCTGGGCGTTCTCTGCAAGGTCACGTCCGCCTTTAACGCTGCAAACTGAAGCGCTTTCTTAAGAAGCTGCTCTGGCTCCAGGTCCCTGCCTGTCTGCCCACATTCCCTCCCTCCCTTTCCCACTTTCCCCTGGTCGTTCTCTTCCTTCCCTACCTTCTCACACACAGGGCCTGACCCCTTTCCCGTCACCAGGGAGGGTGAAGGCAGGGACTTTCCCTTTCTTCTGCTTTCCCGTCATAGCAAACACTTCCAGTTCCCCTCAGGCCAGCCCCTCTCATTTTCCATCCTGTGACCCACTTCCAGCCCTGAGTCTGAAGCTGGGCTGAGAGCACACGGAGACGGAGACGGGGCCATGAAGGTGGTGGTGCTCTGAACGGAGGACTGCATGTGGGGTCAAGGTGCAGACTTGGCTTAGGGAAGCTTCCCAAAGCTCGTGTCCGTAGCCTTGGTGGAGGCGGTGTGGTGAGCGGCCTTCAGAACCCAGGCTCGGAGCCGTCCACCTGGGGTGGCTGCACTCCCAGCTGTGACCTACAGGGAGCGCCAGCCTCTGTGCCTCCTGTCCTCACCTGGAAACGGGGACAGTAACACCTTCTCTTAGCTGCGAGGATTCAGTAAGTTCATGCATGTAGAGCATATTCTAGAACAACCCACAGCATTTACGAGAACTCCAGGCCAAAGATCACTATGTACGCACCATGTAACCTGCCCTCCAACCAGAACCACTTCCTTACATCAGCTCCTCTGCGGCTCCACCAGGAACAATACAGGCCGTTTCCCACCCACACCTGCTTACCTTAACCTCTAAAGAGTACCTGCCTCCTGGCACCTTTTTAAAAAAATCTGATGGTTTCACCCAACATTAATGCCACCCTTTCACAGTCTGAACATCTTTAAGGATTTCACCTGTCCTTTATAGGATACTCCCATCCAAAAATAGACATTGGTGGGTGACAGAATATGCTACCCCAAAATATGCCACTTTGGAATTTCGATTCTTTCAGCTGAAGGCAATTTTTCTTCCCCTACAGCATATACATGGACTTTAGGTGTTGTGCGTGCAAACTGTCACGGAGGAAAATTTTTCCCCTACTCTTCTAGGCTCTTTGGCTGACCTAATTAAATTGACATAAAACAGATAAATTTAATTGCTCAGAAACTCCATTTCTTTAATATGACCCTTTCTGCCCTAGTCAGTTTGGCTCAGTGGCTAGAGCATTGGCCTGCAGACTGAAGGGTCTGGGGTCTATTCTGGTCAAGGGCACACCCCCGTGTGGCAAACTCAGTCTCCAGTAGGGGGCATGCAGAGGGCAGCCAATTGATGATTCCCTCATCACTGATGTTTCTCTCTTTCCCTCTCCCTTCCTCTCTGAAATCAATATATATAAGCCCTTAGGATACCAGATTCTGATCAGCATCAAACTGAGTTAAGAACAAATGGCTACAATCGAACAGACTGTCCAACCTATGAGGGAAGGCAGGGGGTGAGGGGGTAAGAGATCAACCAAAGGACTTGTATGCATGCATATGAGCATAACCAAAGCACACAGACAGTAGCGGGGTAAGGGCATATGCTGGGGGGTGGGGGCGGCTGGGGAGAGGTCAATGGGGGGAAAAAGGAGACTTATGTAATACTTTAAACAATAAAGAATTAAAAATTAAATAAAATAAGAACAAATGGCCTCAGATTGTTAGCTGTGTGATCAAGAATAAACCCCGAAGAGGATTAAAAATGGCAGCAGAGTAAGTGGAAGCTACACAGACACCCTCTCAGAATCAAACTGGAATTACAGCTAAAATACAACAACAACAAAAAGCATCCTGAATAATCAACTGAAGACTAGCTGGAGCAGTGGTCGGCAAACTCATTAGTCAACAGAGTCAAATATCAACAGTACAACGACTGAAATTTCTTTTGAGAGCCAAATTTTTAGTTTTAACTTAAACTATATAGGTAGGTACATTGTTATTAACTTAATTAGGGTACTCCTAAGGCTTAGGAAGAGCCACACTCAAGGGGCCAAAGAGTTGCATATGGCTCGCGAGCCGCAGTTTGCCGACCACGGAGCTGGAGAGAACCCTGATAACCAAGGACTGAAAGTGCAGACCACATAGAGACTAGTAGGAGGGGCAGAGGCGCAAAAGGGCTGGCCGGGCTCCCACAGAGAGCAGCTGAAGTCCCAGAGGGATATCTCAGCTGTGAAGGGTTGCCCCTGAGAACTCTGGGGTGTAACCCCCAAGCAGGGCCCCCAGCAGAGAGCACCAGAACTGAGAAGGGTGCCCACATAACATCTGGCTGTGAAAAGCAGCAGGGTTGCTGTCTGCCAGGGAGAGACAGCTAGAAATTCAGGCACCAGACCCCGAATAGCTGCAGCAATCCTGAGAAAAAAAGACCAAAGTTGGAGCAATCACAAAACCAGATATCAAGCTATACTACAAAGCCACTGTCCTCAAAACTGCCTGGTATTGGCACAAGAACATATAGACCAATGGAACAGAGAACCCAGAAATCGACCCAAGCCATTATACTCAAACTAGAGGCTCAGTGCACAAATTCATGCACCAGTGGGGTCCCTCGGCCTGGCCTGCGGGATCGGGCCAAAACCGGCTCTCCAACATCCCCAGAGGGGTTCTGGATTGCAAGAGGGTGCAGGCCAGGCCGAGGGACCCCACAGGTGCACAGTCGGGGTTGGTGAGGGATGCGGGAGGTTGGCCAGCCGGGGAGGGACCGTGGGAGGGCTCCAGGGCATGTCCAGCCCATCTCGCTCAGTCCCAATAGGGCGGACCCCAGCAGTAAGCTAACCTACCGGTCAGAGCATCTGCCCCCTGGTGGTCAGTGCACATCAGAGTGAGCAGTTGAACAGCCTTAGCATTACACTTTGATTGGTTGAACAGACGACCAGACACTTAGCATATTAGGCTTTTATTATATAGGATAATATTTGACAAAGGAGGCAAGAGCATACAATGGAGACAAGATAGTCTCTTCAATAAATGGTGTTGGGAAAATTGGGCAGATGCATGCAAAAAAATGAAACTAGACCACCAACATACACCATACACAAAAATAAACTCAAAATGAATAAAGGACTTAAACACAGACAGGAAACCATAAAAATCTTGGAAGAATCCATAGGCAGCAAAATTGCAGACATATATTGTAGAAATATCTCCACCAGTACAGCACCTAGGGCAATGAAAACTAACGAGAAAATAAACAAATGGGACTACATCAAAATAAAAAGCTTCTGCACAGCGAAAGAAACCACCAACAAAACAACAAGAAAGCCCACTGCATGGGAGAACATTTTTTTGCCAATGTTATCTCCGATGAGGGTTTAATCTCCAACATTTACAGGGAACTTATACAACTTAACAAAAGGAAGATAAACAATCCAATCAAAAAATGGGCAAAGGACCTAGATAGATACTTTTCAAAAGAGGAGATACAGACATATGAAAACATGCTCAAAATCACTAATCATCCGAGAGATGCAAATCAAAACGACAATGAGGTACCATCTCACACCTGTCAGAATGGCTATCATCAACAAATCAACAAACACCAAGTGCTGGCGAGGATGCAGAGAAAAAGGAACACTAGTGCACTGCTGGTGGGAATGCAGACTGGTGCAACCACTGTGGAAAACATTATGGAGTCTCCTCCAAAAATTAAAAATGGAACTTCCATTTGACCCAGTAATCCCAATTCTAGGAATATATCCCAAGAAACCAGAAACACCAATCAGAAAGGATATATGCACCCCTATGTTCATAGCAGCACCATTTACAATAGCTAAGATTTGGAAACAGCCTAAGTGCCCATCAGCAGATGAGTAGATTTAAAAACTGTGGTACATCTACACAATGGAATACTATGTTGCTATAAAAAAGAAGGAACTCTTACCATTTCCAACAGCATGGATGGAACTGGAGAGCATCATGCTAAGCAAAATAAGCCGGTCAGTGAAAGATATCACATGATCTCACTCATATGTGGAATATAATGAACATAAACTGATGAGCAAAAATAGAGCCAGAGGAAAAAAATATTTTAGAATAGAAGTAATCCTGTTATTTGCAGGTTTTAATAATTTCTACAACTTTTGTGATATCATACTATGTTAGTACAGTTTTGGTAATATACTTAAAATCCTTTTACCTCTTGAAATATTAATGTTTATCGCATGTAATATTATTATATTAAGATCTTTTTCTTGAATTGGGTTTATTGTATGTAACATTATCATATTTAAAATAATTTTTCTTGAGATATTAAGGTTTATTGCATGTAACATTATATTTAAGATCGTTTTTCTTGAAATATTAAAAATAATAATAATAATAATAAAGATATCACCCAGAGGAAAAAAAAATTCAGGCATCCTCTTAAAGAGCTAACACACAAAATTTCATGTGCAGCCACTTACCCTGGGCTCCAGCAGAGGGAGGGCAGAGTGGACTTGAGCTGTGTGAGCGGAAGCCAGAGATGGGGGCTCTAGGGTTAAAACATGGAGGGCAGACACCCCGGTTTCTAAGCTGAGTCATTCCCTCACCTGCAGAGGACAACTCTCTCAGGCAGACCTTTGCTATCCAGGTGGTTTTTGCCTCAGGGTAAGACAGTTGCCCCAGCCTATTGGAAAACCTCACGTTCAACCTGTGGACAATTGCCTTCGGCTACTCAAGACTGAATACACTCAGTGCGCAGGCAGAGGCGATCTGGAGGCTTTGAGTCATTGCCTGATCTTTGCCTGAGTCAGAAACAGTGTAGCAGATCTACCTAATACATAGTCACAAACCCAAACAGGCAGCCAAAATGGGGAGATAAAAAACCAACCCCCAAATGAAAGAACTAGAAAATTCTCCAGAAGAGCTAAATGAAATGGAGATCATAAATTTATCAGACAGATGAGCCGCTTCATCGGTGCTGTTGACCTGCCCCTGGCTCCCCCGTGTCTCTCCGCTTGTCCTGCGATGCCAGTGAGCCTGCAGGGATCTTGAGCCTGGAGGAGTGGACAAGAGGCTGAAGTACCCGCTGCAGGTCAAATACTACGGGTGGAGGTCAATAAGCTGGGCAAAGTGCTGACGCTCACCCAGGTTCAGAACTGGCCCACTGGTATTTCATGGGATGGCCTTGATCCAAGTAAACTCTACACCTTGGTCTTCTTTAAAAAAAAATATGCTTATTGATTTCAGAGAGAAAGGGAGAGGAAGAGAGAAACATAGATTAGAGAATCATTGATTGGCTGCCTCCTACACGCCCCCTACTGGGGATTGAGCCCTCAACCCGGGCATGTGCCCTTGACTGGAACTGAACCTGGGACCCTTCAATCTGCAGGCTCTCTATCCACTGAGCCAAACCAGCTAGGGCTACACCTTGGTCTTGACAGACCCAGATGCTCCAGGCAGAAAGGACCCCACATTTAGGGAATGGCACCATGTCAACATGAAGGGCAACATCAGCAGTGGCACCGTCCTATCTGATTATGTGGGCTCTGGGCCTCCTGAGGGCACAGGCCTTTACCGCTATATCTGGCTGGTTGACGAGCAACCCAAGCCACTGAAGTGTAACAAGCCCATTCTCAGCAACCAATCTGGAGACCACCGTGGCAAATTCAAGGTGGCATCTTTCTGCAAAAAGTACAAGCTTGGGCCCCCAGTGGCCGGCACGTACCAGGCGGAATGGGATGACTATGTGCCAAAGCTCTATGAGCAGCTGGCTGGGAAGTAGGGGAAAGCCAGGAGACAGACATGGCCCCGGGGCCCAGGCAGTGTTCTCAAGTTCAGTGATGCATGTTGATTTCTCCTCTTGTCTGTTCCCACTCTCACGGGTGAGACCTGAGCAGAGCTGGAGGGTAACTTGTCCTTCTGCCTGTCCTTTATCATTTTACAGGGTCACACATCTGGATTTATGTTTTGATCAAATTTGAACTCCATTTTGGGGGCTATTTTGGTACTATGATGTGGTCATCAGATTGT